AAAAAAAAAAAAAAAGGGTTCTTGGCGGATCCAGCACGCGCTGCCGCCGCGGAGGCTCGCCAGGTTAGTGGTGGCTTGGCTTGACCCATCTACCCACGAGCTGAGCTCAAGCTCGTGTTCAAGGGTCGAGCTCGCTTGGCCCACGAGCTCATGAGCTCACGAGCCAAGCCAAGCCCATGAGCTAGTTTTTTTTTTTAATTTTAAATGTTTTTCATTTTTTTTTTACTTTTTCTTTAGATTTTTTACAGCCCACGAGCTCGCGTGGGCTCGTGAGCTTTAGGCTTGTAGGCCATGTTCGTGGGCCGGGCGAACCTACATCTCTGCTGACTAGCCCGAGCCGCCCACGAGCCGATGAGCAGCTCAGCCCATTTGTCACTTCTACGTCTGGTGCTGGATCCACCACTGTATGTACTAACGGTAGAAGACGCATGGAAGTGTTTTGATGCATATTTCAATTTTCGATAGACTTGAACAACATTGTTAACTTTAAACCCCCGTTTGGCCCCCATTAAATTCCATTACATTACATTCAATTTTTCTCTCTCTTCATTACAATCACACATTCATCAAATAAAATAATATTACACACAAATCTAAAACTTTTTACTACTTTTCCACCATACATTCTCCCATCAATCACTATTTCAAAAATTTTCAACCATAAAAAATGCACAATAATGGGGGTCAAACAGGGGCTAAATATGGCATTAATATTGTAGGGTTAATAACACAAATTGTCATTGAACTTTGCAAAAAGTTTTCCTAGGGTCATTGAATTTTAAAAATCACTCTCAAGTCATCACTGAACTTTGCAAAAAGGTTTACACGGGATCACTGAATTTTAAAAATCATCACATTCATCACTAAATTTTGCAAAAAGTTTCCCAAGGGATCACTAATTCAGTGATCCTCTAGGAAACATTTTGCAAATTTCAGTGACCTTGTGGAAATTTTTTACAAAGTTTAGAATGAATTGAGTGATTTTTAAAGTTCAGTGACTTGGTGTAAACCTTTTTGTAAAGTCCGGTGATGACTTTGGTGATTTTTAAAGTTCAGTGATCATGTGAAAACTCTTTACAAAGTTTAGTGACTATTTGGGTTATTAACCCTAATATTGTACTTTAGTTTAACTTTTGTAGACAAAGGTGATTCTTAGCTTTGCTAGTTTTTAAGAATTTTCTATTTGTTCATAAAATAATTTATTTGGACTATTTGAATAGTAATTTTAAAATTAGAAATGACATTTATTTTGCAATTATCGTGGTCTAAAGATTTTAGAACCGATTATATAATACCAAACTTTTTACCATGATGCTATTGCCCACGGTCCTAAAACCATGGGGAGATAATTGTAAAAACCTTTTATAAAGTGATATTATTGTAGTAAATACTTAAGTTATTCGAGGATCCAAAGATTGAGTATCGATGAAGATAAATTTCAATATTATTTGTAAATCTATGCATGTAACAAGGACTCTCTTAACAATATATTGAATACATTAAATTAGATTTTTATTGCATAATTATTTTATTCATATCAAATTTGAACATAGCAAATATTTTTAAGTGATATAAACAAGCACACACGTTTTCCCATTGACCGAAGGATCACAATCATAAGCTTTGAATGTTTATATTTTTTTACTAAATTAATTCAATAACCAACAACCGAGAACATTATTCACCCTCGTTCCTATTTTCCATAGCCAATATTCAAAGTTCAAACCTCACGTGATAAAAATTAGGACACAAAATTCATTGTGGGTGGGTTGTAAATGCACATTCAAAGAATAATATCATTAAAATATTCTACATTATAATAATGATAATATAAAATAATAATAATTCATCTGACTTTTCTCCACCTCAGAAGCAACAAAAATGTAGTTTCTTAGCCCCGGGCACAGTTCAACTGACGGAACAATCAACACATAACTCGTTTCTAGCAGTAGGGTGGGGGTTCGAATCCTGGTGGGAACCTACTGTCAGTTTTATTTGGTTTGAGGCAATCACTTTGGAAGATGATCCCTTGTGCGTAGAAGTGTACAGTTGGCGAGGGGAACCTAGGAACTAATTGAGTCATATCCCGCCATTTACCTCCTTCAAGATTGTAGGGGCAAGGGTCTTGGAAGTCCAAGATTTAGTCGGCAATAAACTGGGACACCTGGGTATAAAAAAAAAATGTAGTTTCTCAAACAAATCTTTTGAATGACAGAAGTTTTCCTGAACCTTTTTCTACACGAATCGTCAGCATTGACGTCTATTAATTTTTTTTCGCAAAAGAAGTGGAAAAAGAGAATGGCTTCAAGCGACCATTCCAGAAGTCTTTTCCCAAGTATAATTCTGCCACCTCAAAATGAGGCTCCTGTTTCCTATATGTTTTTTCAAAAATACATATTTTCAAAACTCATTTCAATCAGGTTAATCCACAAAATAATCTTGCACGTAAATTAAATTTTTTATTTTTATTTTTTAATTACACATTTTCCAAAAAATCATTATTTCAAAGCACAATTTTTTATTTTTCCAAAATCTCGTTTTAATGGATCCAAACTGAGGCGAAATTTCTCACAATGGACATGGATGTCAAAACCAAATCAACTACTTCCTCTGAAAATTCATTACTACTTTGTATATATTTAACCCTCGTCCTTAACAACGCCTTATTTCTCAAATACATACTGTGGGAGAAAGAAATCAGAAATGAATAACCTTAAAGCAATAACTTTTTTTCGGAGGTTCTTGATTGTTCTTGTTTTAGTTTCGTTTTCATGCTTAACAAGAGCACAAGAAGTTGGTAAGTAGTGTCGAAAAATTATAACAGAAACCATTATTATGCATGCATAGCTTGCTCTCTCGTCTCTTGTTCTTTTTCCATTTTTTTCTTCTTCTTTGATGATTGATTTATTTCATTTTTTTTTTATTGTAGATGATGAGAGCGAGTTTAGTTATGAAGAAGATAGCAAAACCGGTCCCGCGCACTGGGGAGAGATTAAGCCAGAATGGTGGATGTGCAATTCTGGCTCAATGCAGTCTCCCATTGATCTGCTGAATGACAGGGTTGAAGTTGTATCTCACTTGGGGAGGCTTAAAAGGAATTATAAACCCTCCAATGCCACCCTAATTAACAGAGGTCATGATATGATGGTAAGTTTTTTTTTTTTTTTTCACAATCTTTGTATAGGGTTTTCTTTGTTATTGAATAGTATTTATGAATGCAGTTACGTTGGGAAGCTGGTGCAGGGAGTATTCTGATAAATGGAACACTATACCAACTTAAACAATGTCATTGGCATTCACCTTCAGAACACACTCTCAATGGCAGGAGGTACTTCAAAAAGAAAAAAAAAATCAATTTCCTTTCCAAAACATGAATCCATTTCTTAATAATATTTTTTAAAATTGATATAAAAAACACATAACAACATTCGGCTACAGGTTCGATATGGAGATTCACTTGGTCCATGAGAGCATGGATAATAGGACTGCTGTGATTGGCATCATGTACAAAATTGGACGCCCTGACTCCTTCTTCTCCATGGTAATTAACCATAAATTAATCTGTGTCTACAAACATATTTGTTTGCAAGTATTTTCAGTTGATTTCTTATACTATTCAATTTTTATATATTAGATGAAGCAAGATTTGAAAGCTCTTGTTGATACGCGTGATGTTGAGAGAGCAGTGGGTATTATTGACCCAAAACTTATTAAACTAGGCAGTAGAAAGTATTACAGGTACATTGGTTCACTTACAGTTCCTCCTTGTACTCAAGATATTAGTTGGACAATTTTGAGAAAGGTATGCTTCATCACTCTCGCTAATTAGTGGACGACAACATTATATAGGACAAGATCAAGATTTTAACTTATTTTTATTCCTTTGTCCTATCAAGTGTTGCTCATCCCAACGTACCAAACATGTTAGAAATTATCTAATTGTGTCTCGATATTTTTTAAGGTAAGGACCGTTTCAAGAGAACAAGTAAAACTGATTCGTGAAGCTGTAGATGATGTAAGTTTTTAATCAAATTTACCTACAGAATATTTATGTATAACTCTTAAAAATCTGTTTATAGTCTATGCTTCTCTTTTTCTTTTTGTTATTTTCTTACAACAACTTTAATGATTACAGGACTCAGACACCAATGCAAGACCAATCCAACCAATAAACCAGCGTCCTATAAAACTCTATA